CCCCCCCCCTGCCTCACCCTGCAGGCCCGTCTCCCCGGGGTGGGCCTGGCCATGCTGTCCCCCCCAGAGCTCTGTCCCTCAGGGCTGCGTTCCTCCTTAGCACACGGGGGTCTGCTCGAATGCTGCCTCCCTGAGGGCCTTGGGTCCCTCCGCCCCACCTGGGCTATCCCGTCACGCCCAGCTCCTTCACGCCCCGCAGCGGTCTCCGTCCCTGGGTCCTGGCACCGTGTCTGGTGTACAGTGGCCGGAGGGCTATGACCAAGGGTGTGGCCATACCAGGCAAGGCTCACGTGGGCACGCATGACCGCTGGCCTGCTGGTCCCGAGTCGGGCAGGCTGGGTGCTGTGGGTGGGGTCCCTGGCCCAGCGACGGGTGCAGGGCAGGTGCCTGGCTGACGGAGGGTGTACTCCCTGACGTGGGCTCAGACCGCCCCTCCCTCCCGCAGTGGACGCGTCCGTGAAGCTGCAGTACATGGACAACATCCGCTGGATCCGAGAGGCCGCCAAGCACCAGCTGGTGAGGCCCGGCCTGGGCGGGCATGGTCCTGGGACTGCTGCGGAGGGAGCGTGCTGACCAGTCCCAGCCCGGCCCGGGCCCTGCCACCGAGCCTGGGGAGGTGCAGACGCAGGTCCCAGGGCCACAACAGGGCTCATGAGGACACAGGCCTCCACCCACTGTGGGTGCGGGCACATCCGTGGTCACGTTGGAGAGCATGCCTGTGCACACTGGAGCATGACAGAGGCGTGCTCCCTCCTTGGTCTGCCACTCTGTGACGGCCAGCCACACGGGTGTTAGAGCTGCCAAGCGCTCGAGGCTCCTGCTGGGGGTGCAGGCCAGGCCGTGTGGCTGGGCGCCTCCGGGCCGAGGCCTGTGGGAAGGAGCTCGAGAGAGCCTGGGCCCAGGCTACGGATGGCTGTGGGGGACCACGTGAAGGCCGGCCTTGCACCCTGGCCGCATGGCAGGGCTGGCCCCCGGCTCCGGCTGAGGCTCCTCTCTCGGGCCTGCAGGTGGTGGGCTCCCAGGCCAGAATCCTGTACTCAGACCAGAAGGGCCGCGTGGCCATCGCTGTGGTCATCAACCAGGCCATAGCCTGTGGGAAGATCAAGGTGACCGTCCTGGGCCCTGGGGCTCCCCGTGCTCATCCTGCCCGTGCAGGCCCTGCCTCCACCTGCCCCGGGGCGTCGGCCAGCCCTCCCTTCCTGCAGAGTGCAGGGCCTGGGCTGCCTCAGGGGGTACCCGCTCTGAGCCCCACAGTGACACGAAGGCCTAGCCCACTCGGCCTCGGTGTTCTTGTCTGTAAAATGGGCCCGCTAGCGGCTGTACCCAGCTGGGTGCACTGTGAGGGCCCCGAGCCAACACTGGCACAGCGCACGGGGTCTGAGCCGCAGACGGCGCCAGGAGGGGCCCGCGTGGCCTCTTGCTGAGGCGGGGGTTTTCGAGAGGAGCGTCCCGGTGTGGCCTGACCCTCGCCCTTGCCTTGCGCGGGAGCCGTGTGGTGCTGTCATGGTGCAGTGTGTCCTTCCCCTGCAGGCCCCAGTGGTGCTGAGCCGGGACCACCATGACGTGAGCGGCACAGACAGCCCCTTTAGGGAGACCTCCAACATCGATGACGGCTCCGCCTTCTGTGCAGGTGGGGAGATGGCGTCGCGTCGATTTCGTCCCAAAGCCTGTCTGTTCGTTCGTTGGTCACGCGTTGCAAAGATGTCCTAGGATTGCAGGGCTCCGGGCGTGCGCCTGGCCCTGGCCCTGGCCCTCCCTGCGTGGTCTGGGAGTCGCAGGCTCCTCACCGGCAGGAGGGGAATAACAGAGCGTCAGGGCACTGAGGAGCGCGGTGGCTCGCGCGGTGCGACGTCAGGTGCTGTAGCCAGTCTCCAGGGGGTTAGCTGCGGCTGCCATGGCCGCCCTAACTATTGTGACCTTTGCCCAGGGTACAGGGTTCTAATCCTGGCATAATGCTCCCTCCCAGCACCTGAGGGGCCTCCCACCATGGACGGGGCCCAAGGAAGAGACGAACACGCAACACCGTATGCATCGCTTTTTTGAAAGAGGGAGTTGGCCCATTTTGGTCGAGAATTTATGGGTGCCAAGTGCCCAGCACTGCGGCTCTGTCGTCCTGGATCGTCTGTAGGGCCGGCCGTGACGTCCCCTCTGGCATTGCTGGTCCTGTGTGTCGTGCCTTTTCTCTGGCTCGGGCTGTATGGCTAGCAGTTACCAACTGTATTGCTCTTCTCAGAGAGAGCTTTGGAGTATATTTCTCTTGCTTTTGTGTTGCCGATCCATTGCTTTCTGCCCTCACAGTCTCTCCTTCCCCGGGCTTCGGGTTCGAGTTCCTCTTTTTTCTTGGGTCTCATAGGCGGAAGCTGAGGTGGCTGATCTGAGACCTTTATTTTTTCTTGTGTGAGCGTTTAATGCTATGGATTTCCCTCTAAATCCTGCTTCGGCTGCATCCATTTGTTCTCAGGGATGCATTTCTAAAATACTTTCCACTCCGCCTCGAGCCTTCCTCTGACTCACGAGTTGGTGAGACACGAATATTTCCTAGTAGCCCAAGGACTGTGGCCCGAGAGCTTCGTTACGTACGTCTCTCTACCCCGGTAACGTTCTGTGCTCTGCAGCCTGCTTGCCCTGACATTAACGCACGTGCATTAGCCGTGCTGTGGCCCCTCCCGGCTGGGACCGTGCGAGCACCACCACCCAGCCCTTCCCAGAGTCTCACTGTATGGCAGGCAGCCTTGGGCGTGTGACCCTCCTGCTTCAGCCCCAGGTTGCTGGGCTCCAGGCACAGGCCCGGCCTTGTTCAGACCACGAGGGCGAACCCAGGCCTTGCGTGTGTCCCAGCCTGGGGAGCGCAGGGTCTCACAGAAGTGACTGTGCCATGCCCCCTCCTTTTTTTTTTTTTTTTTTTTGAGAGAGAGGGATTTTTGCTATAGGATGCATGCGCTCGCCAGAGAGAGAGAGAGAGAGAGACAGAAAGCGAGAAATCACCCCCCAGGGAGATAGCCACCTCCTTTGGGATCTTAGGCATGCACGCACACACACCTGGCATGAGTTTTAAGCCGCCGGGTCCAGGACTTAAACCACGGTCAACTATGTGGGAGTCTAGTGATGTAACCAGTATGCCATCTGCTGGTCCCGTGGCCCCTTTTCTTTAGGGTGGGAGAGATGCTCTCTGGCCCGCTGCACCTCTGAGCGAGCACTGGTGCCTCACCCCGAAGCCCTTCTGTTCTCGCCCCTGCTCGGACTCTTCACCCGGTGAAGAGCTGGAGCTGCCGAGTGACCCCAGGGATGGGCAGCTGGGCTTCCCCGATTCGCCGCCTCAGCTCTGAGTCCCCCAGCGTGGGCATCGCTGTCTCGAGTTGCCTGTCCCCAGCGCCCTGCCCGCTGCCGCCCTGTTCCGGGCCCACACGCCTGACTGTGTGACAGCCAATGCCCACTTCTCCGCAGACATGGCCGTGCAGAACTTCGTGGGCGATGCCTTCCGTGGAGCCACCTGGGTCGCACTGCACAACGGAGGGGGCGTGGGCTGGTAAGGAGGTTCCCGAGACGGGGGGGTCCCAGAGAGGGACCCTGCCACCTGCTTTGCCAGCAGCTTTGGGAAGCTGGGGCTGGGAATCGGAGGGCAGACTCGGGGCTGCACAAGCCTCCTCTTTGGGTCTCACTGTGACACGGGGCCCCGAGGCCTGTAGTGGCTGCTCAGGGAGAACGGTGGCCCCTTTGCGGTCAGTTCTGGGGCACTGACGGCTTCATAAAGGAGCAGGACCCACTGCAGTCCCAGGCAGCTGGGCTGGGAGGCGGGAGGCCTGGGTTCTGAGCGCCCATCTGGCCCGCGGCTCCACCCCCGGGGGCCCATTTCCAGGCTGCATCAGGAGGGGTTGGGTTTTCCGAGGGCCCCACTCCGACATCCGCTGCTTACACCTGCATGTACCGGCGCAAACCTCAGGGTGAGATGGCTAAGCCCGGGCCACTCTCACCGGGTCTTGGAGGGGAGGGCGGGTGTCAGCTGAGGACGCTGGCTGGCCCGCTGCCCTGCCTGGGTCTGTGGGTAGCGCCCAGGGCTGGCTCTGACAGCGTCTCTGAGCAGGTCGGGCCTGTAGAGGGGCCACGTCCTCGGCAGCCAGCGAGGTCTTCCAGGCTGAAATCCTGCGCCGTCCCCAGCTGGCATTAGCCAACGGGAAGTGAGCAGAGGGCACGTCCTTCCCGACACAGGCTGGAGAAGGCCGGGATGGGCAGAGACACTTGGCTGCTGGCATTCCGGGGCTGTATGGCTGAGCCTGGGGAGAGAGCTGCCCTGGAGGAGGTGGAGGGCTGAACTCAGACCTGCCATTCTCCACTGCTGCCATCATTGTGACAGGACTGCGGAGGGCAGGAGGGGCAGGAAGGGGCAAGAAGGGGCAGGGCAGCGCACGCTAGCAAGAGCCCACGCCACCAGGCCTGGGCAGGGACGGGCACAGCCAGCTGCAGCCCCCGTACCAGGGGCTCCGATGGGCCTGCTCCCTGTGGGGCCCCAGACCACAGCGGCCCGGCCAGACGCTGGGATGAAGCTGCCACCCTTGCTGTCCTGAAGGCTGTGGACGGGGCTGCATGCCCGTCTTGGGGGCTCGGGACCTCATGCGCGTCCGTCTGCCCATCAGGCGCTCCTGAAGGTGTGCTGCAGGCCAGCACGCGGCACCTGCCCCCCGCAGCACCCCACATGAAACCACGTCCACTCCGACTCTGGCGTGGGGCTGCGGTGTGCCTGGCATGTGACCGTGCTGAGTGGAGGCCACCCTGCGTCTCACCTCCCCAGTCGGCGATGGCTGCGTGTGGCTGCAGCTCCTGCACTGCCCGTGTCCTGGGGCCCCTCGCTCCAACAGCTCGGGGTCTCTCCTGCGCCGGCTGTCCAGCGGTCATGCTTAGCGAGGGCTTCGGCGGGCTCAGGGCACCTTGGACCGGGTTGCAGGACGGGGCGACCTGGCCAGTCGGGGAGCGCTCTGCCTTCGGGCTCCTGCCTGGGCGGCTGGGCCTCAGGGAAGCCCATCGTGAGCACAGGTGTGTCCCCGCAGGTCTGTCACCGCTGCCCTCGCCCAGCCCCCTAGCTTGCTAGGGTCTAGGTGCCTGCACGCGTGCGCCATGTTTTTAGGCCAAGGCAGGTCATGCGCCTGGACGCTCCAGCTCGGCTCGTACCGCCACGCCGCGGCTGGGCCAGAGGGGCCCTTCCACCTCCTGTCCTCATGCGGAGCCGGCGTGACGTGAGAGGGACGGCCTCACTGCGGGCCCTGTGCTTCGCCGTGGCGAGCGTCCCCTGCTGAGGCCAGCTCGGAGCTCAGGGTGCAGGCTCCAGGCCCTGCTGCGTTCACCCTTGCCGGCTGCCCTGCCCAAGCCCCTGGCCTCCCGGGTCCTGGGGTGCTGCTGGGTTTACAGCCGGCCCCCCATAGCGCGTCTCCTCTCCCTTTCTCCTCATCCTGCGGTTAGATATGGGTCGTTGGAAAAGCCTGGCATGTTTTTCTACGCAAAATGGCTTTTCCGACTGCCAGTCGTTCCTCTGTGGCCGCGGCGGCCCCTCGGGAGAGCCGAGCAGCAGGCACGTGAGCCGCGGGTCGTCGGCAGTCAGTGAAGATGTGCAGCCCATCTCCAGGACCCTGTGTGTCCGTCTGTCTGGACGGCGTCCCTCTGAGTGCCTGGCGCCTCCCCCATGCTGTGTGCCCAGGCCCTCTGGGGGCTTGCCCACGAGGTCTGGGGGCCGAGAGGCTGCGTTTCGGCCCAGCCCACCTGGGGGCTGCGGGGCCATGCGTAGGCGGGGCCCCGGGCTGTCCCTGGCTGTCCACACGAACCTCTCGCAGGTGCCCTCACCCAAGAGGTGGGACTTCCTCACACGGACAGCACAGCCACACAGGACCCCGGAGCGTGGGTTCCGGCAGCCTGTGTGCGGCACCCAGGCTAACTGCACCTGTTTCTCCCAGACCGCAGCACCAGAGCAGCGGCTGCCCAGGAAAACAGGCCGAGCCCCTGCAGCGGGCACGGCTCACACAGGCCGCGGCCTGTGGGGCCCTCCCCAGTGCAGCTGGTATGTCAGCACATGACCGAGCCCTCGCGTGTCTGGTGTCTGGGGCCCGGCCACGTGGCACAGGCTGCTAAGGTGCTGTGACCATCTGGGAGGCCCAGGTTCAACTCCTGGCCCAAGCTTGAGTTGGCGCTGTGGTCTCGTGACTCGGGAAGGTGGAGGCAGGTGTGGCTCGAGCTCGAGGGTGGCCAAGGAAGGCTGCACAGCCAGACCCGTCCCTTAAAGAGCCAGGCATGTGGCACATGTCTGTTCCCAGCGGGGAGCTTGAGGCAGGAGGTCCCTACTTAATAAGACACTGTCTTTACAAAACGAATTTTAGGGTCAGCAGGTGGCATGGTGGTTAGAGTGCTGGGCTCCTACACAGCCAACCATGGCTCAAGTCACAGACCCGGCGGCTTGAGAATCACCCGTTGTGTGTGCATGCCCGGGATCCCGGAAGGAGAGTGGAGGGGAGCGGGCTTTGGCATGGCCACCTCAATGGCCCTGCAGTGCGTGTGGCTCCCACATGGGCGATGTCTCACTTTCCCCCTCTCTCTGTCTCTCTCTGGTGAGTATACGTGCCTTATAGCAAAAACCAAAACGCCTAAAACTAAAAAAGGAAAGAAAAGGGAAGATGGGGCTCAAGTACCAGTTTACTCTGGTGTAAGAATGATTTCAAACCCACGCGGCTCTCACGACACCTGTCTCCCACGAACTTGTGAAGTTTCTGTCTGGCGGCCTGGGGCTTCTGGGGCCTCGGGTCCTACTCTGGTGTTTCTGAAAGTAGTTTGTTGTCCTCCCTGACGGCCACCCTGGGCTCAGCGAGCTCTGGGGTCACTTTGCCAAGGCCACTTGCAGCTGAGTGCCCTTGACCACTGACCTCAACTCCCAGAAAGCCTCTCTGGGGAGAATGCAGGCCAGGTAGCGGCTGCCGTCTCCCCTGCCCGTACCGTCGGCCTCTTTGCGGGACATGATGCTGCAGCCATGAGATCCGAGGACTGCACGGGAGCAGGCCTGGGGCCCCCGCCGGGTCTGAGCACGGGGCGGGGGGTGCAGGGTGCAGGGCGCAGGACGGGGGCCGCAGAGCACAGGGTGCAGGGCGCGGGGTGCAGGCTGCAGGGCTGAGGGTGGAGGGGCACGGTGCAGGGTGCAGGGCGGAGGGCGCGCGGCGGCGGGCACAGGGCACAGGACGCAGAGCGCAGGCACACGGAAACCCCGACTGCACCTAGCGTGTGAGGACGGGGCGGGGGGGGTGTAAGGGGGGCGGGAACTGCCGCATCCCTCCTAGGCGCTGTCCGGATGGGAAAGGGTGCGGCGGAACAGGAGCTCGCAGACCAGCCGGGTGCAGGCGCAGAAGGTGTCCTGCTCAGCGCTGGGCATGGAGGCCCGCCTGGGGCCATGCCGCAGCCCCTCTCAGCCACCCTCCCTCTGGGGCACCCTCACCTGGGCTCAGGCCTGCTCGGAGGGGAAGCGGCCCGCACGGGTCCCGGACATGGTGTGAAGATTTTTTTTAATGCCAGCAAATGGCCCACGACTCCCTCTGCCCCGGGGCCCGCTGCTGCGCCCCTCGTCTGCCACCTGAGGCCCCGGGCTGCAGAGGCCGGCCGACACTCCCCTGCCCAAGACCGCCAGCAGTGTGTGCCTGCCAGGGGTTGACCTGGGCCCCTCTCCTTGCAGGGGCGAGGTGATCAATGGGGGGTTCGGCCTGGTGCTGGATGGGACCCCGGAGGCCGAGCGGAAAGCCAGGATGATGCTCAGCTGGGACGTGTCCAACGGCGTAAGTCTCCCCGGGCCCCGCACCGCCACCCGTCCAGCCGTCACCGCAGGGCACCCTCTTCGTTAGGCCGCCGTGTCTCCTGACTGCTCTGGTTGCCTTTGGGCCTCCCTGCCTCTGGCCCCCTCTGCGGTCCAGCCTCTGCCCACCCAGTCGCGCCCACAGACCCAAGCCTTCCCGCGACACAGCGCCTGCGCCGGGGCTGAGCTGGTTGTGAAGCCCTCTCTGCCTACCTCCCTGGTGGCCAAGGGTGGGCAGGAGGGGGCGCGGCCCGAGGTCGGCTGAGTGTGGGCTCTGCCTCTGACTCGGGCCACACGCAGGGTCTTCATCGTGAAGTGGCCAGAGCAGGGGTGACCTCGGGAGGCTTGAGGGTGGCAGGAATGGCAGGGAGACCAGGTGGGCAGAGGACCTGGCGGCGGAGCTGAAGCCAGGGCGGGTTCTGTGAGGACAGAGGGGCGGTGTTGGCACGCCTGGGCTCCTGGCCTGGCGCCCGCATGGAGGTGACGGGGGAAGCAGTGGGGCTGGGCGGGGGTCAGGACGGCCTTGGCAGGCCCAAGGGGTCTGAGAGGCCCGGGAGCCCGAGCTGGCGTGGCCGGGCCGTGACACCCACTGCCCCACCCAGGTGGCCCGGCGCAGCTGGTCTGGGAACCGCAAGGCCTATGCCATCATCAGCCAGGCGATGCGCGAAGACAGCGGCCTGGTGGTGACGCTGCCCCACGAGGTGGCGGACGAGCACCTGGTCCAGCAGGCCCTGCGGCTCTGACCAAGTATGGTCACGCGCCCGCCCCACCACGCACCTCTCTGCCCCCGGACACAGCACACCTGCCCTGCACACCCCACCACTCGGCCTCACCCCGTGCTCCCGGTGCCGGCACGGGAGTGCCTGGCTGGCCCGTCTGACAGAGGAGGCCGCAGAGGAGCCATTTGTCCACCACCTGCTAGCCCCACGGGTGCCTGGGGTGGGGGCAGTAAGGGGCTTGTCAGGGCCGTGTCCTCGAGCCCCCGGGCCGGCTAGGAGTGGACTCCAGGAGCTTCGGGGCGGGGGTGTGGTCGCACACACACGGCCCAGCTGGCTCCCCGCCAAGGCCTGTGGGGCCCTCTGTCCAGGCCTGGTCACCTCGCTCTGCCCTCGCCCCTCCCGCCACCCTGTGGCTGGCTTCTTCCTGTTTGCACCGTGGGTCTGGACCCACCCTTGCTGTGCCTCAGCGCCCAGGCCTGGGGACACACGGGCTCTGCCAGGCCCTTGGCCAGAGGGCTCCAGGGGGGAGAGCTGGTGGGAACCCCGGGTGAAGAGCCCTGCGAGGTGCAGCCCCAGCGGGTGGCAGCTGCCATCGGGCTTTGGGACCAGCTGTTGGGCACCCCGAGCCGGCACGGTGAGCCCCAGGCCTGGCTCCTCACGACAGGCTTCCCATGCTGTCAGGACCTGGGGTCCACAGGCCATGCGGGCCCTGAGGCTGGGCTCTGTGCTCCCCAGATCATAACCCCCGGCTGGGCCAGCCTCAGCCGCAGCGGGAGGGCCCAGGCCACAGGACCATGCAGCCACGGGCCCCAGGCTTCACTTCGTCCTGAGGGATCCTCCACTTCCAGCCCCCCATCTCCCCGACCCTGTGGCCCCTCCTGCACTTCGGCCAAACTCTCCCTGCCTCTGGGCACTGCAGGCCTGCCCTGAGCTGAGCCAGGGTTAGGACACGCAGGCAACAGTGGGGTGAGGAGAGGACCCTCCAGAGAGCCCCAGCCCACAGGTGGTCGGCCGTGTCTGGGCCACACGGAGGGCCCAAGCCACCCGCTTTGTCTTCCCCAGAGCAGACAGCTGTGGGAGGGCTGTGGGGTGGGGGTCTTAGCCCCTTCCCCAGTCTCAGATGGCGGTGCTGTCCTCCTGGGGGTCGGGCCCCAGTGCCGGGCCGGGCTCTCCCTCCCCCTTAGCAGCCATTGCTGTTGGGACCGAGCGGGCTCGTTAGCGAAGCACCGTGCCGGGCGGTCAGCCCGTCTGGCGGGGTTAGAGGCGAAGCTCCCCCCGGGGTCTCCGTGTGCTCGTGTAACGTGAGAGTTTCTCAAGTCCGGGCGAGGGGTGGTGGATGCGGGACGGTGGACGCAGGCTGGCCTCTCTGAGCACACGTGCCTATGCCCGGGGCTGAGGCGGGTGGGTCACGGCGTGTGGCACTGTAGCGTGTGCTGTTTCTCTGTCTCGGTCTCATGGAAAAAATGAATAAACTTTAGAAAGAGGGCAGCTGTGGGGGCCAGGCCGCCCTCGGCGGTCCCGGCTGCTGCGGACTGGGCCTCGCCCGCTCAGCCCCCGTCCCGTAGTGTGGGCCTGACTGGGGGGGGCTCTTCACTCCCGTGCAGGACCCGAGGGACTGTTCTGTGCGCCCTGCTGCGGGACCGTGAGCCTCCGGCCTGTCGCAGGTCGCAGGAGTGCCCGGTCAGGGTGGAGGTCCCCGGGGAGAGCCACACTGGGCGCGCATCTTCTCGCGGTGGGTGGGGCCGGCAGAGGCGGAGTGGAGCAGAGCGGCGTCCGTCCAGACCTGCCGGGGTTCCGTCACGGCCCATGCCGAGACCTATCCCAAGGCCCCGCCTGGCCACGCCTGATGGGCCAAGTCCCCGGCCGTCACAGTGGCTCAGCAAGTTCTCGCCGAGAGCCCGTGGCACCTCCAGACCCGTCTTGCCTCCCCACTTCCCTGCAAACACACGGCACCCCAGCAGGGAACACGGCGAGCCTGCCGCTGGAGCAGACTCCCCGGTGTCCCGTGCTTGGAGATCTGCTTTGACAGGAGACCCCCGACCCCACCCCGTGACCACAGCGCTCAGGCCCCCCGAAGGTGTCCCGCACCGTAGCTGGGCTTAGGACCCGTGTCCTCAACGAGGACACAGACCCTCGTGGGGCCGGGTTTCTAAGGGCTATAGGCTGGCCCAGTCCAGTGGCTTTTCAGCCTGCCCCTCTATAGCCCATCTGCCCCCAGGAGCTGTCCTCCCATTCCCTGTGAGAGAACCCCAACCGTGTCAGGCCAGCAGCGCCGCCAGTGAGGCCACCCCACCCTCCTGCCTTCCTGGCGGCCGGAGGGACCGGCAGCGGAGTTCTAGCCCACGAAGGGGTGGGGGCCAAGAGCAGGGCTTCTGGGAGGATGGTCGTGGTTCTAACACTGGGCGCTCGAGCCGGGTCCCTCTGTGCCTGCGCCCTCGGGGCAGAAGCTCCGCGAAGCCCCAAACACCAGCTGAGTCAGCTCAGGCTGCGTAACAGGCACTGAAGGCCGGGCTTCAACAGCGGGAGGCTGGGAGTCCACGGTGAAGGTGCTGTCCTCGGTCCTGCGAGGGTGCTCCTCCTGGCCTACAGGGCCGAGAGGCAGGCAGACGCCCCTCCTGGGGCTCACGCCAGCGCACATGTCTGGGCTGACAGGGCCGTGGACCTCAGGGCCGTCCTCTGCTGGGACAGCAGGCCCCGTGGTGGCAGCACACCAAGCCAGGCCCACCGTGGCACTTCTGGGCGCACTCCAGCCGGGGGCCAGCCCGCAAGTGGCCACCGACGTACAGGTGGGGCCCCTGGACTGGGGATATGCGTGCGGCTTCCTTTTCTGCTTCGAAAATTAATTTTTTAAAACAACGTCCAACAACACTGGTGTTCACCTGAGAGACGGAGGGAGGTGGGGGGCACGTCCAGGGTCAGGGTGAGCGACGGTCCCTTCTCTCCACACCTCTCCTTTCCGGGCTGTGGTCACACACTCACACGCTCACACACACACACTCATACACTCACATACGCCCGCACTCACATGCGCACACACACACACTCATTCACACACACTCACACCCATACACTCACATACACCCACACTCACACGCTCACACTCACTCACATACACCCACACTCACATGCGCACACACTCATACACACACACTCATACTCTCATACTCACGCTCACACACACTCACACGCTCATACACACGCTCACACCCATACACTCACATACACCCACACTCACACGCTCACACACACACACTCACACCCATACACTCACATACACCCACACTCACTCGCTCACACGCTCACACCACACACTCACATACACCCACACTCACATGCTCTCACACACACACTCATATACACACACTCACACCCATACACTCACATACACCACACTCACACACTGATACACATTCACATACTCTAACTCATACTCACGCTCACACACACTCATACACTCATACACACGCTCACACCCATACACTCACATACACCCACACTCACACGCTCACACACACACACTCACACCCATACACTTACATACACCCACACTCACACGCTCACACACATTCACATACTCATACTCTCATACTCACGCTCACACACACTCACTCACACACATGTTCACACACATACACCCACACTCATAAACTCTCATACACACACGCTCACACACACATACACACTCATACTCACATGCTCACACCCATACACTCACACCCACACGTGCACACTCATACACATTCCCATATTCACGCTCACACACACACACTCACACACGCTTACACATACACCCACACTCATAAACTCTCATACACACACACACACATACACATACACACTCATACTCACGCTCACACCCATACACTCACATACACCCACACTCACATGCGCACACTCATATACACATTCTCATACTCACACTCACACACACACACTCACACCCTCATACACACATACACCCACACTCATAAACTCTCATACACACACGCTCACACACACACTCTCATACTCACATGCTCACACACATACACTCACATACACCCACACTCACACACACACATACTCACTCCCATACACTCACACACACTCATACTCACACACACATACACACATGCTCACACCCATACACTCACACACACACACTGATACACATTCACATACTCATACTCACGCTCACACACACTCACACACTCTCATACACACATGCTCACACCCATGCACTCACACACACACACTGATACACATTCACATACTCATACTCACGCTCACACACACTCACACACTCTCATACACACATGCTCACACACATACACCCACACTCATAAACTCTCATACACACGCTCACACACACATACGCACACTCTCATACTCACACGCTCACACACATACACTCACGTACACCCACACTCACACACTCACACTCATACACACTCACACCACACTCATACACTCACACACGCTCACACTCACATACACTCACACATACTCTCATACACACACGCTCACACACACACTGATACACATTCACATACTCATACTCACGCTCACACACACTCACACACTCTCATACACACATGCTCACACACATACACCCACACTCATAAACTCTCATACACACGCTCACACACACATACGCACACTCTCATACTCACACGCTCACACACATACACTCACGTACACCCACACTCACACACTCACACTCATACACACTCACCCCACACTCATACACTCACACACGCTCACACTCACATACACTCACACATACTCTCATACACACACGCTCACACACACACTCATACTCACATGCTCACACACATACACTCATTCACACTCACATACACGCACACACATACACTCATTCACACACTTGCATACACTCACACACACACATACACTCGCATACACTCACACACACATACACACTCAGACTCATACATTCACATACACTTGGGTTTACACACACTCACATGCACAAACACACAGACTCACATACACTAACACACACACACTCAGAATCATACAGTCTCACACTTGGGCTCACGCACTCACACAAACACACCACACACTCAGATTCACACACACAACCATACTCACAGCCACACTCACAAGCCACATGCACACACACAGTCGCAGACACACGCGCGCACACACACACACCTGGCATGTCTTCCAAGCCGCTGGGTCTGGGACTAGAACCGTGTAGGTGTCCGTATGGGGTCCAGCCACCTTAACCACCACACCACTGCTGGCCTGACATGGATTATTTCTGTCATGAGAGGGGGCACTCCAATAGGGTCTTCGCACCACAACCCACGCCCAGGCTCAGCCGCCCCGACCACGGGTGCACACGTGCCTGCTGTGTTCCGGGCGGTCTCCACGCACAGCCCTAAGCTTCCTCCGCGGTCACCTCACACCCCGCCGTACCTGCTACTGCCCAACCCCGTTGTTTTAAAGATCAGGCTGTGAGGCGGGGCCCACAGGTGGCGTAGTGGTTAAGGCGCCGGACTCCCACGTGGCCCACTGCTGATCCAGTCCCAGACCCAGACCCAGAGGCTGAGACACGGCAAGTGCATGTGCATGCATGCCCGAAATCGCAGAGTAGAGGAGGGACTGTGCTGTGGCCATCCACCCCCTACCCTTGGGGTGCTTCACTGCTTTCTCTCTCTCTGGCAAGCACACGTGCCCTATAGCAAATATTTCTTTTTTAAAAAAAGAAGGTATTAGGCAGCACTGCTCCCCACCCGTGTGGTAGCCCGGCGGAGGCCCCCTGGGTTGGCCGTGCTCTCACCACTTGGCCACAGGCCTCACCAATCCCTCCTGCCCCACAGTTTGTTCTCAGGTGTGAACTGCTGCCTGACCCCAGGTGCTTCTCACTGAGAGTTACACTTGGTCTCTGCTGGGATTCGAACCTGTTGTGGACATGGGTGTGCAGACCTCGCCGAGACCCTGCTCTCGGTGGGCTGGACTCAGGGTGACTGTTGGACTTTCTGGGGAGCCAACACACCTGTCGCTGTGGCAGCTGCATCCTGCCTGCAGGGCACAAGGTTCCGGGTCTCCGTGCCATCTCCAGCAGAGTGGAGATCTCTCAGCAGCGGCCATCCTGGCGGGCATGAGCGCTGCTCTCTCCCTCACGTCCAAGCGTTGGTGCTGCGGAGCAGCCCTGTGCTGGGAGGCGGAGTCCGGCTGTCTGCCTTGCTTTGGCCTTCAGGGTGGGACAGGGCTGCCCTCCCAGCTCGGCCCGCGGTGGCCCCGCTGTGTCCCCGCTCTGAAGTTCCTGCCCTGCCACCCAGGTGAGCGCGGGCTAGCCCGCCGGACCATCCTCCGCCCAGCCCAGCCGCCGCCCGTCAGCAGCACCGAGGCCTGCCCCTACGCCTTCCAGCCCAGCAGAGCTGCCAGTGCGCAGGGAGCCACCCAGAGCAGCAGAGCTGGCCGGGTCAGGACGCTCAGCTGACCCAGGGATCGTGCACGAAAGAAGCCAGCCAGCTATGAAATGACCTCTCCACGTTACCCTGCGTCCTGGTCCTGGCCGAGGGCTTTGCTCCACACACCCC